TTCCCAAAAGGCCGGCAACGCACTTGTAATACCTCTGGTGTTCCAGGTGTCCATGGGCGACGCCGACTGCTTACCATCAGGTGATACGTCTGCTCGTTTACCGACTTATGCCATAAAAAATACAAACTACGTTGGAAGCTTTTACGTCCAACTAGGAAAGAAAGAGAGGGAATATAAGGGTAGATTGTGAAAGAAGGGCATATAGTGTGAAGACGATGACGTCAGAATGGAAGAAGACATGATTCTAACTCATCACGCCTTTTATCCCCTAAGGGATTCGCAGAGGGGCATATTACGGCACTTAATGCCACTGTACAATGTAACACCCACTTTTCACTATGTATGTTATGAGTCCCATGTAATAGGGGGTGAGCCTATTGCCATGTACCGCGCACAATTCCAGACTCCGTACTACTACTGAGATTTTTTTTTAAAACCGCCTGTTGGTCGTGTCGTTACAAGTGCGATTGCCGGGCATGAGGTCTCGGGTTTGATTCCCGGATCAGGCAAAGTATATTTCTAACTCACTATTGAAATAAGGCCAAGAAGAACACATACCTACACAACATACGTGAGCAAAAATCCATTAGAGAAGATAAAAAGCAAGACGACAATAAAATTCCGAATTAACTTCTTTAAGAAAACGTAGTCGAATGTATGTTTAATGAAGATCCTGCTTCTTATAATGTAGTCTAATAATATCATAGTGCCGAGCTAATCACAAGTGTAGCCAGTACGTGATGGGAATGGCAACAGTCTAGTACTGGGTCATGTAGACGAGTCGCTGGAGTTATTACATTTTTTTGGTTTAACTTTAATGTTTTTGTTGCTAAGCTTAATGTCATCAAGTTTTAAGAACTACTCGTAGATTCGTGTTATTATAGCATGATTTACACACTGCCTCGTTGGCCGAGTGGTCGCAAGTGCGACTGCCGGGCAAGGGGTCTCGAGTTCGATTCCCGAGTCGAGCAAAGTATTACTGGGTTTTTAAAAATTCTTAGTGGTAGCACGGAGTCTGGAATTGTGCCCCGTATATGGCAAGAGCTCACCCGCTATTATATGGGACTTGTAACGTGAAAAGTGGGTGTTACATTGTACAGTGGTATTAAGTGCCATAATGTCTGCCTACTCCTTCGGGGACAAAAGGCGTGATGTTATGTTATGTGATTTACACACACACCAAGCATGTTTAATTAAAACTTCTATAACACATACTAAATTAATTATTATCTGTTAGACTTACTCACGTAACTGTTTGACGAGGAACTCGACTAGTTTCAAGCCATGCTAGAGGCTCGTATTCATGAGTAGCATTTCGCGACCCGCGGCTACTGCCGTCGTCCGAGCGCGGATGAGGAAGCCGAAAACACAATAATGAACACCAATAATGTAGCTTTTTTGAAAGGGGAATATCAGTCCCGTCTATGGTGAGGCGAACACAACCCCTTTCCGACTTCAGCTCCGAACCGGAGCCACGGTAACTTCTTGCATTCCACAACCTCCGTCGGTTATCGGCCCTGCTAGTGGTGCCTTGCCCCATCTGTTACTGGTCTAATAGCTCTTTGAGGCGCGCACGAAACACTTTTAGTAGTACAGGACAAATGTCAGTCGTTAATCATCATCAACGGTCCGTCTCAATCCAATGCTAGACTATGGGTCTTCTCTACAAAAGAGGTGGTTGCCATAATGTCCACACTCGGGTTGGAGATCGCAGTTAGCCATTTACAAATGTTGACATGCCATGACAACTCACTAATGTTACAGTCATATATTTATCGCTCACTATATTTATATTTGTGGCTAAAAATATTGTCTAAGTATTTCAAACACTAAAATGCCAAGTAGTAATATTGTGGATTGATTTAGTTTTCAAACGTGGCAACACTATCCCTGTCGGGCATTCGGGCGGTTTTGTTTTTGACAGCAACAGATTATTTTTTTGTAAAACAACTTAAAACAAGTGAAAACAAATTATTTTTAAAGAAGTCTGAGTTTTAATTAAGATCACCATCCTTCTGAGCGTTTTACTAATATACCTCTACAATACTGGTTCAAACTCAGGGCCTACCCCAACCTAGTTTAGAAATGACTTGAGGAAAATACAACGATTAATGACAATGGTTCGTGCGTACGTAAAAAGCGAACAAACCGGCTGACGGCGCGTGTTATGTATATTTGTGTTTAGATAATCAAGTGAAAGCATAATGTTGACTTCGGAAGTATCGTTCATATTGCGCCAAAATTCTCCGATAGTTTTGTAGGGTTTCAATTCGTTTCTAAACTGTTTAATAAGGTAGTCCATATTCGACTCCAAAATTCGGAGTATAGAGGCGAAACGGGGTGACTGGTGAGAGAAGCCGAAAACAAGACAAGATGGAGGAAAATGACACAGAGAGCAATGAAAGCCTTTCAGGGGCACGACCTTCAGAAATGAAGCAAGCGATCGAGAAGATATTGATTTAATCCCCAAGTCACACCCTTTGGCGGTCTCTCATGTGCTGTGACTGTGACGTGCTAGGCACCAAATAGCAATCGCGTCATTGACAGTAATTTATTAAGACCTGTCTAACTATCAAATTCATCGACATCAGTCCAGCGGTTTAGGCAGGAAAGCGTAACAAATATGTAAACACATTATCAACAGCAACACGCAGACAATTATTTAGTACTAGCTGACCCGGCAAACGGTAAACTTCGTACCGCCAAATGTGTTACAATCTTACCTTTTAAACCTTCCCTGGACTTCCACGAACATTTCAATACCAGAATTAGCCAAATCGCTTCACCCGTTATAGAGTTATAGCGAAACTTAACAAATGGAATAATATTTTTATCTAAATTGATTTTTTCTTATAACTGCTTTTTTCTGTATTTGTTGGGCCGACGCATGACTACTATCGCTTATTTGACTTAAAAATAGGCCTAACAATACCTGGACCAACCTAGGACCTTGAGCTCAGCACTCAGTACTTGTACCCGCGGATACAATAGCACAGTAAACTTGTGACCTCAGACAGATTCATTAGTTAACCACACTATGTTAGACACAGCAGTTAGCGGCGACCGCAGGCCGGCAGTTAAGTTATCTGAACATTGACCGAAGACTAGCACTAAACTACCCTTTGTAATCTTCTATATGTGATGGTTTAGTTTGCCCTCTATCTCGCCTGGTGGTGCACGATGATGCGGCCAACGATGATCACGTCGACCCATAAGCAACCTATTCACTCGGGCCTTGAAAACACCCAGGTTATACCCTTCAGAAAACACACAGTTGGCAAAGATTCTATCATAGCTACCTGACAGTGTAAAGTTAACGGTACACGTTTAGCTACAGTTATCATCATCACCAGCTTGTTTTTGTCCACTACTGTCCAATAGTACGCCATTGAGTTCGATCTTTAGCTATGCATATTCTAATATTCTTGTTAAATCAGCCACAAAGCTTTTTAACTAGTACAAATTTTTTTTCTAGTATATCTCTCGGCGTAAAAAATTGACAGGTCTTTATCAAGTGCACATCGACCTACTGGATCAAGTATCAAGAATTATTTAAAAAAGAGAGTGTTTAAATTCATAATTAATGTAAAATGGGCGCTGAATTTAAATATGGAAGGAAGAGGACGAAGTAACGAAAAGAGTAAAGATGTATTGTATGAACGAGGAGTTTGTGCTGTGATGACGTCTATTAGGGGGGGAATGGAAGAAGACATGCTGTGCCGACCACAAGGAACTTAAGATGAGGACGGGAAATATAACTGAGAGATTATTAGTTAGAGAAAACTAGTTATTAAGAACAGAGCAACGGCGAATGAGTGTAACCACATCGAGTAAATTATAACTTTGATTCAGTCAGCATTTGATTGAAGATTGAATAGACTATAATCAACAATACAACTGCCAACGGCCGCGGCCGGACACTAGACACATAAAAATATTATTTCGGAAATGTAAACTAAAAAAATGAGTAGGTAATTTAGTTTTTTTTTTTGTTACATCGTGATGTAGGTAGGCGTCTAAATAACGCGACTTCTAGTAGATTCGGATTCGGAGTTTGTTTCTTTTATCACATTTTTAAAATTAGAATTCCTTATGAATAGTTATTGGTAGATCATAGAAAACAATGAATATGCGTAATATCTGTCGTACCTACTCGGAGCCTAACCTATGACTTATGAGTTAACAGTACATCATTTTAGTTCTCAATTTATGAATTACATACACGCGGGCGGAACCGACATATTCCTCATTGTACATGATGTACCTACATTACTCTCTGTATATTGTAATTATCAATTAGATTCGAACACAGATCGAATCATAAATTACACCCAAAGCCGTAAAGTAGGTATGTTCTCTCGAATAGTTAGGTATCTGCTTTCATTATTACGAGCGCATAAACAAAATATTTGCCGTAAAAATGTAACTACCGGTGATGGCTACCCGGCAATTATTTTCTAATTTACTAAACAACGCGTGTCGAATTAAATATTTTAAAGGTGACATCAAAAACATTATTAGTCACATGCACCTAATTACAATTTTCAGATAGTATAGAACATTTTTACTTGACTTGTAAGTAATATAGATAAATTAGAATGCTTGTTAGTAGCTAAACCTTCGCATAAAGAAACTTTGCTAAGTTCGAGGGCATTTTTGGGCGAACAAAATAATAGGTATTTGTCGTAAAAGTTTAAACGTACACAAACTATTCATTTCACAATTTTTTTTTCATTCTGATCATTGCTCAATTTCTATTACTGTTCGAGATTAAGTAATTTCGAAAAACCAACCATCAAAAGATTAGGATATATTATTTTGCAGTTACCCACACTTTTTAATTTTCTTTTTTAGTTTTACTAAGTATAGGCAAGTACAGTTATTCCATATCAAAAACAATTTAACAGTAATTTTCTTACACTACTGAAAAAAGTTATACAAAAAAATCACTTAAATCATGAATGTTGACTCGACAATTTTTGCTAGCAAAAAAAACTCACCAGAGCGAAGAATCCAATATTTTCATCCCCATCTTCTTTCTTATTCTTCCTAGGATGCATGTCATACGCCTTGCCTTTGTGGCTCACAAACCGTTTACATTGGCCCTTCATCACTGTGTTTAAAAAAATCAAACTGTCACAAGTTCGCGCGCTTTACCGCGGAGGTTGCATGCGCGCACTTAGCGGTCGACCGCTATGTCTCGCGACGCTAGCGACACTGGACGAGACGCGTCTACGACTGCACGCGCAGACTCCCGCTCGCTTTTAATAATATGTTTGTCAACTCGGGCGCCTACCACTTTAGGTGTTTGGGGAAATACTACAAACTATAATACGTATAAATTGGATATTATGCGTTTGCTTTGACACCGTTTGACGTAGAACCCGTTGCGAGGTTCTCAGAACGTTATAATTGTAATGTTTTTTTACAAAATTTTGTCATGACGAGTTTTTAAAAATTGGTTTAGGTGCTGATTAATGTTCCGGGAATATTAAATAGAAAAACCCGGTACCCTGGGACTGGTATTTATAAGCTAAGTAAGATATTTATTTAAAATAGACGCACATAGTTAGTATATAAGGTAGTGTTGTCATTTGTCACTTATTAAAGAAAACAATCTATGCACTTAGGTGATACTTGTTGGGTATGTCATATATTATGTGTAATATAAATTCTTGATGTATGATTATCTTTGAATTAATAGATGAATAAATAAATATCTTTGGATACATTAATAATGGATGCAAATAATGCATAGGTAAAGTAGATCGGAAAATAAGAATTTACATAATAATTCAATCTTTGGGGAAACTCCAAACCCCCTTTTTTGAGAGGGGGGAATCATCCAATGACTTCCCTCGACTTACTGACTGAACACCACCCTGTTCCTTCTCCTGCACTTCGAGCCGGAGCCCGGCAACAAGGTAGGCCTTCCGCGGCTCCGCATCAGCCCTAGTGGGGCCCATCTATGGTAGTCTGATGGCTCTTCAAGGCGCGCGTGGAACGCGACGCGCTGTACGCACGGGTCTAGTTTTAGTCGGACAGTGAGCTACCCTTGCTCGACGTCCGCAGAGCCGCACTTACGGTAGCCGGAGATCGTCGCACGATCTTCGACGCCCAGAGTGTCTCCCGCGACGGCTGAGGCGTGACGAGGTTCGTTTCCTCACGCGCCCCGCCTCCTCCTTGGCTAGCATAACTTCAAAACCGTGCTAGAACCGAACCATATTATAAGGCAAACTAGGCAAATGCCTAGAGCGCCAGGTTACAGAGGGGCGCCATGAGACGCGCGTGCCGAACTACCCATAGAGGGGTAGTGGTGGCAAAATAAATTCAGAACGCTATGAGGTGCTTGTCTAGAGCGCTCTCTAGGTTTTATCCGCCGCTGGATGCAGGACTTCAGATATTGTTGTTCCAGCTGCAGACCTTTGCAGCCTAAAAGCTTACCACAGCTGATAGAAAATTGGCAATACTGCTACGTCCAAGACCACGTGAAGGTCATGAATTAGTAAATCTTCATGATACTCTTCATTCAGACCACATACTTAAAATTTAAGTTTGGTTACATTAGAGTTGGGTGTATCTTTAAAAGACCTGGAGGTACAACATCAACAGCCCGCGGCAGGCCACCATGGAGCCTAGGCTATGGAGTCTGTACAGCCAGGCATGGCACATGGCAGGAGGGTTAGAGCTTAAAGTTCGCAGTGAGGATCAGGAGAATATGTTTTTACGATATAAGCGCCCAAACGACCAGACGGATCACCTGATAGTAAGCAATCGCCGCCCATGGACACACGCAACGCCAGAAGTGTTACAAGTGCGTTACCGGACTTTTGGGGGTTAGGAATTTGAGGATTCGGGGATTGGAACATCTCTTTCTTTCTCTCTCTCATTCGCTTTCACTCTTGGCTTAAGCCTGGACTTGAGAAAAATCACGACAGTGGCAAAAACGCACACGGCCCGCCTGATGGTAAGCGGTTACTGTGGCCTATGTACGCCTGCAACACTTGGAGCATTACATGCGTCTTGCCGACCCTTGAAAAATCTATTTACTTCTTTCTACCAGCCGCTGCGTGGGTAGGAGTAGGAGTGGCGGGAAAAACATATCGTCAGCACCATCGTCGTCATCAAAATCAACATAACAATACAATAGCTACCTTGAGTTCATTGGATTAAAGTTCGGATTAACAGTTACCTACATATGTATAATATTGATTATTGAGTTAAAACACACAAAAAATTGGAATGTTAGTATGTTAGTCCCGTCCTTACGCCTAAACCGCTGAACCGATTTCGATAGACTTCGAAGATTATTTTTGCGATAAATTAGGACTTTATGAGAAGATAATGAGAGGATCTTATAAATACCCGATTATAAAAAATCCACAACATTTATTCATACAAAAATAGTCTCTAAGCATCGGAAGTAAGGTCTGTAATGGAGTAGGTAATTGGAGAGCGGTCACCGATGACTGCTTGGGGACTGGGCAGTTTTGAAAGCTTAATTGATAGAAAAAATATTTTTTAATCAAGCGAAATCAAAAAACGAAAGCTAGTTTTGCACGTTACACAATAATGAAAGGATTAGCGAGTGCCGTCCGCTGCTATAAACTAAATTAAAAAACATTATTAATAAATATCCATAAATCCATATATTACAGTTTAGTGACGTCACAGAACACGTGGTCTGCTGATCTTGACCCACTGGAGCAGCCTGATGATACGACTTGCTAAATGACAGCTGACGCAATAATGTCAACGAACTCTATTACCAACTATTGCAAACTTTGTATGACGTTCTGACATAAATTATACTGTCAACGTCTAATCCCCAAAAGGAGAGAGGGTACAGTGGCCAGCAGGTTGAAGAACATTTTTTGAGGGTGGAAAATCATCCAATGTTTTCTCCCGCCTAGGGTATTTTTTATAAGGGACAAGCCCGCCACAGCCTCCCAAATCCGCTGCAACTCCTGTGCATCAGGATCTACAGTAGATACAACAAAGAAAACACCGGAACACTGAAGTCCGGCGCGTCCCAGGGACATGAATAACTGTCTTGGTTCCCGCAACGAAGTGAATCAGCAGATTATAAGAGGAAAAGAAAAAAATTATATTTTCCACTTCCCTGGGTGAATTACTGCAGGAGACAGAATGAATTAAGCCTCAAGGCACAAAAAGAGACTGTACAACTGGGTGAAGCCCAGTCGCCAAGCACCACGGAAATTTGACTAAAAACTAAGTGGGTCCTATGTGTGAGCTGTTATACTTGCTTCTAATTTGCGATTGGGACTGGGATCTGGGTTAGGCGAGAGGGACTGTTAGACTCTTACTGGTGCCGTAACAGGAGTTGCACCGTGGGGGCTCCGGGGCTGGTCTACTAATAGGACCCGCTGCCTCGTCCAGGTGCGGATGGTGGCCACTGAGGAGGGTTTTGTGAGGTAAAAATTCAACACTCTCTAGTCTTTTGCCCCAAAAAGCTTGGCGCTTTTTGAAGGTAACCCCCGTCAATAAAAAAAAGGACTTTTTTGTTTTTAAGGGGGGAAAATCATCAAATGACTCCTCCCGCCTGGGTGAGGCGGGAGGGAGTGTCAGACTCTTACTGACTAAAAACCACCCCGTTCCTTCTCCTGCACGTCGAGCCGGAGCCCCGGTTACCCGTTAGGTTCTTCGCGACAGCACTCATACCACTAGAGTAGAAAGTTTTTGTAACTGCTCTACTGTTGCGAATGTCTTTGGGAGGCGCTGCTCGTTTTCCATCATGTAGTCCGTTTGCTCGTGAGTGCCGATAAAAAACTCGTTGTTGTACATCATGCAATCAAATACGAAGAGCTGAAAGTTTTTTATAGCCCTATTGAAGATAAAATTGGCGATTGCAAACTTATAACTTGAAATGTTTCGTCACTCGGGCGTCACAACACTCACAGCGCACCACAATGCTTCAATACAGAGCTACTGTCTACGTCATCACACACACACACATACAGACTCTGGCGAGAGAAGACGTCGGAACCTAAGTAAGTACTTATAATAAGTTAAGGAAAATGACGATACAAGAGGTAAAACACGGAGATTGTAACATGATAGTGTTTAGGTAGAAAAAGGGAAACACGTGGGATTTATTACTCTAAAAGTGAGTAATATAACATCACGCCTTATTACCCCCGAAGGGACAGGCAGAGGCACACATTACGGCACTTAATGCCACTGTCCAATGTAACACTTTTTATGTTTTGAGTCCCATGTAATAGGGGGTGAGCCTATTGCCATATACCGGGCACACTTTTAAGGCTTATTTTTATAACCCAGTAATACTTTGCCCGACCTGGAAATTCCAGGTCGGGCAAAGTATTTTAATTCCAGGCTGGAATTCGAACGCGAGACCCCTTGCTTGCAGTCGCACTTCCGACCACTCCGCCACCGAAGCAGTCACGCAGGCATTATAATTACAATTAGACATTGCTTTTTGTATCTTAACTGTAACTATTAGAATGGTGAATGCTCATTCGACCTGTGCCAACTAGGTTATTGGATTCTAAATTTCCTCGGGAACATTGGGCTACGATTGTATAAGAATGATGTTAACAGTAACGTAATAGGGATGATGATAGTGTATGAAAATTAAAAATCTAATTAGTCCGTCAGTTAGGTAATGAAAAAATATTTGAACGTATTTTTTTATTTTGTCGTATAAGAAAACAATACTTGGATAAAACGAATTAAAGTTTAGAAGTGGGAGGTAGCTACGTCATTTTAGAGTACAAATCGTACTCAACAGTGACGTCATGCGATATTTTAAATCAATATAAGCGTCAATTTTTACGGAATACTAAAATCATTTCTACAAAAGCGCCACTTCATAGTACAAAGCGGGGAAGCATTGTCTGGTCTCTGGCCCATACAGACAGGAGTACCACAGGGTAGCGTACTGGGTCCCATACTCTACTTACTGTTCACTGCAGACTTGCCGACATCCGAATTGCTAACTACTGGAACCTTTGCCGACGACACCGCCGTACTAGCTGCTCATAGTGATCCAAAAATTGCCTCACAAATACTCCAAGAAGGACTGAATGTCATATCTGACTGGCTTAAAAAATGGCGGTTAAAAGCCAACGAAACCAAATCAGTCAATATTACTTTTACTTTGAGAAGAGGATCCTGCCCCCCAGTCACACTAAACAACATTGAAATCCCACAAGCAGATCATGTGAGATATCTTGGATTGCATCTGGACAAAAAACTTACCTGGCAAAAACATATTTTCACTAAGAGGAAGCAACTTGGTATCCAAACACGAAAACTTTACTG